CCAGCCCTCCCGCGCTCGCAAGCTCGCCCTTGCTCCACGCCCATCCATGACCGCGACTCTACTGGCTGACACAAATCTCTCCTGTACCCTCCCTCCTTTCTCCCTCTCGCCTTTGGTTCGCCCCTACCGCTGTGCCGCTCCTTCTTTCCACCGCCGAACAGCCATGTCGCCGGCAGAAGTGACAGAGAAGCTCGGTCTGCACCGGATGCGCGACCGCTCCTGGTTTGTCCACCCGAGCTGCGCGACATCAGGAGAGGTGAGTCTGCCCCATCGAGCTCGACCCACGTCCTTGTCCCCGTGCCTGACTTCTCGATGCCGCCACTCCGCAAACACACTCGCCGCCTCTCCCGCTCGCAGGGTCTCTTCGAGGGACTCTCGTGGCTATCGCAAAACGTCAAGACGACCAAGAGCTGAACAATACCGCCCAACCCCATCCCCTGTCCTCGCCTCCTTTTCTTGCCGGCCCGAGCTTGCAACCCAATTCTCTGTCGCACCCCCCTCTGCACTCGCCGGCTGCCGATGATACCAAACCCGGTCGACCAACTTTTGCCTCCTTCCAGCCGCCTGCACCCTCGTCCCGCCCTGGGCTGCAGCGAGCGAGCGAGCGATCCGACCCGGCCGGTCCGACTTTTTTGCCCCTCTCCCTCTCCCCCCTTCTCTGTCTCTCGTCTGACGCTGTCCGAATCGCCTGCCTGCTCTTCGCTCTCCCATCGCGCGCCACTCGTCTGCGCGCGCAATGAAAACCCAACCAAACGAATCTCGTCGAAGGTCGTCGTAGCCCGTCGAGGACGCCCGAGGCGCGTTGACCGCCGCACTGGTCTTTTGGGGCCTTCGTCATGATCGCTGGCTCTCGTCGCGGGGCTGCGACGCTCGGTGCTCTTGGTGTGCGGCGTCGATGCTCTCCTCTGGATTCGCCGGTTTTGATGATTGCGCTCGCTATGCTCGTCAGGATTCGATCGTGTCGCCCGCCCTTTGTCGCCGATCTACCTCGTCTCGGCTCGTGTGTGGCCGACGTGGTGGTCGTCAAGGATTGCCACCGTCACTGCACCTGGCATGGAGGCGCGGAGCCGACCTCTTCATCGTCGGGCTGGCGGTTTGCCGGCTGCTGCTGGCCCTGCCCTGGCTGCCGTCCCCTTTGCTGCTCAGGGCGCTGCGGTCGAGCCTGTTGCTCAGGCGGCTGCTGCTGCTGCTGCTGCTGCTGCTCTTGCTGAGATGCCCGCTGCGCCACCAGCTGGGCCAAGCCTCCCGTGGCCAGCCACTCGTCGATCCTGGGGAGCCCGACTGGACCCAAGACGCCGTCGGAAAGGAAACGCTGCCAGTATTGGTCCGCCAAGTCGGCGTCACGGCGGTAGACGGCGTTGCAGATCCTCTCGCGGTTCTGCAGGCCGTGCAGCTTGGACAAGCCGCGATACACCTTTTCCGGCGACACCTTGGCGAGAGCCTCCTCCTTGGGGATGGCCTTGGCCAGCTCCTCCTCGCATTCGGCGCAGCGGCAGCTGGCGCCGCCGAGGTCGTTTGCCGTGTGGATCTCAAACGTCGCCGATGGCGTCTGCGTCTGCGCCTGCGCCTGCGCCTGCGTCTGTCCCTGGGTGGCCGTCGCTTGGCCGGCGGCCGGCTGAGCTGCCGACACCGTGCCTGATGCAGCCGTCGGCGCGGCGGTCGACGTCGTGGCCGGCTGCTTGACCTGCAGGTAGAGCCCATGGCCGCAGGAGCGGGAGACGTACTCGAGCTCATCGTCGGCGTACCCTTCGAACTTCCAACGACTGGGTGCCGGAGGCCATACGAATGACAGCTTCGACTCGCGGCTGATGACGAGGTAGCGCCAGACGCGCGCGGGATAGCTAAAGAAGTAGAGGCGCTTGCAGGTGGCCATCCAGGCCAGCAGCGTGCGGTCGCCTTCGGCCACCTGACCGCGATCGCCGGACGCAGGTGAGTAAGAGGTGCGGCTGCGGGAGGCTCCAGTCGAGGCCGTGGCGCCGGCCGCGGGCTCCTGCTCCGTCTCTCCGCGGTTGGGTCCAATGGCGCCGCGCTCCGAAGTGCCGGAGGGGCGCGCACTGCGCGGTCGGGAAGCGGAGGCGTTGCCATCGGCTGTGCTGCGACGTCCCTGTGCACCACCAGCGCTCGATCCCTGCGCCTGCACCTGTGTCTGCGCTGCGGCGCGTCGAGCTCGGCGTGCTGCCGCTTCCGTCGCCGTCGTTGCCGTCGTCGTCCTGCTCCGAGCGGCGGTACCACGGGATCCGCCGGCCTGTCGAGAGGCGCGCGTCGTCGCGGCAGGCTTGCGCTTGCGAGTGATGTAGTGATGAGCCCACGAGTCGTCCATGATAAACTCGGAGATGCGCTCGATGATCTCAGGCGGGAGCCTGAGGGTGAGGTCGTCCCTGCTGACAGCCATGCCGTTGCGGCTCGGCAGGCGATCCTTGGCACAGTAGCTCTCGTCGTCGACCAAGGCGAGGGCCGTCTGGAGCGAGATGAACTGCGGGTCGCCTGCATAGTGCCTGCGATCGATGTCCTGTGGGGTCCAGTCGTCGGACCAGCGCATCTCGCAACAGCCGAGACGGCCCTGGACGGCGTCCGCGTCGCTCGACACATCCTCGGGCGCCAGGTCATAGATCTGCGCCAGCGTGTCGACGCTCGCCAGCCTCAGCATGATGCTGCAGCCATTGATGCAGCCGGCGACGATGTCGTAGCAGCTCGCATGGACGGCGCGGATCAACGGCGTGTCAGGCTGAAGACGGTACAGTGTGTTGACGACCCAGCGGGAGTATCCCACAGCGATGGTTCGATAGGCCTCAGAAAGCTGCCTGCTTTGCAGGGTCCTGCCCTTTGAAGTCGCGTCAAAGTTCAATGACTCGTGCGTCTTGATCAGGGCGCCTAGGCCGGACGAAGACGGGCGAAGGAGGACGCGGAAGGAGGGGATAGGGCGTGGACGGTACGGGCAAGGCAGTCAGCGCGACGGAGCGCACGAAGGAGCACGCGTCGCGGCACTCATGACTTACGCCACTCTGACATCCAGGCGATGTCGTCAACGTTGCTTTCGTCGGCCGCGAGGCATGCGTCGCTCGACGAACCTCCGCAGATCCTGCGGCAGCGTCGCGAAGATGAAAGCGACTCAGCAGGCAGCTCGGGCGTGACATGGGCGCAAAGGGCATCCGAGCCACACCAGGCTTACACGCAGTAGATTCTTTTGGCCACTTCGTCGACGCAGGGGCTCTCGTCGCCGTCGCCGTCGCCGTCGTCGTCGGTGGTCCAACCCGAGTCAGCTGACGACTCGGACCTCGGCGACATGATGGCCTCGACCTCGATGCTCAAGAGGTCGGGATCGAATGCAGCGTCCGATGCCATGGCGAGACGCGCTCCGGCTGGCCTGCGCTGATGCTGTCGGCGGGTACCGTGGAGGACAGAGGAGGGGCCAAGGAGCTGACGTTGATGCTACAGTGGCACGGACGATGAGGGCCCAGGCGGTATCAAGCGATCAGAGAGCAGGATCAGGGGAAGGGAGTCGATGGTGGCGATGGTGGCGATGGTGGCGAGAAGAAAGGGGCGAAGGAGCGGTCGGGCCCCCTCCCCAATTTTTATTTGCCTCTGCCCGGCGCGGCCAAGAAAAGCGGGCGAGGCCCAGCAGGGATGGGGTGGGCGCAGGCAGATGCCCCCAGCAGCAAGCAAGCAAGAGGTTAGGCCTCATCGACCGGCGTGGCTGGCGTGCTAGGCGGCCTGACCGAGCCGCCCCGGCCCATCCACGCTCGGACCTCGCCCGCCAGCCTGGCGGTGGGGCTCTGCTTGCCTGCCTGCCTGCCCGGTTTAGAGTCGGCCGACCCTACGCTCTAACGGCACGGCCGCAGATGCAGCAGCAGCAGCAGCAGCGGGTAGGAAGAGCAAGCAAGCCATGCCAAGCCAAGTGCGCCCTGGGAGCCCCCGCCGTCACGGGGAGGACAGCTGGAGAGACGGCCACGCCGCGCCACCGACGAGAGCTCGAGACGTGGTGGTGGGGATGCAGACGAGTGGCGATGGCCGTTGGCAGCCGATCGATTTCGGAGGGTCGCTGCCCGATTGCAGCCAGGAGAGAGGGGAGGCTCGAGGTTGGGTCGTTTCGCCGCGCCGAGGCCGGTCGCTGCTGCCTGCCTGCCTCCCGTTTCTTCTAGCTTAGCCGGCCTGCCTCGCCTCGCCGCGCCTGCCTGCGTGCGCGCTGGCTTGGCTGGCATTTCCCTAGCCTATCCTCTGCTCGAGTGCCGGCGTGCGTGCGTGCGTGCGGGGTGGAAAAGTGTTGGTCTCAGACGATTTTTTCCAAAAGTCACATCGTCGTCGTCCAGCTCCAGGCGGCGGCTCGGCGGCCTGGCCAGGCCAACAGGCAGGCAGGTGGTGCCCGTCGGCGCCCGCCTGGCTGCCTGGCTGCACGCACGCACGCACGCACGCAAGCCGGCCCGCCCCACGCCTCTCGGCTGGCTGCAGGCGGGTGATTACAGCGAGGCTCAGGCTAGGCCAGGCCAGGCCCAGCTCGCTCGCCGTCGTCTCCTTGCTTGCTTGCTTGCTTGCTGTTGCGGCTTCCACCTTTCGGCCCTGCCGCCGGGTGTCCGCTCTTCTGCTGGCCTTGTCCTGTCTGGCCGACAGCGTGTAGCATGGATGCGATGAGCCTGGATAACGCCCCCCCTCCTAAGGCAGGGGCGAGTAGGTCGGCCCCGCTTCCACAAGAGCAAGCAAGAGGCCGGCTAGGCTGGGGACGAGATGGCCGAAGGGGAGGTGGTGCGTGCGTGCGTGCGTGCGTGCGTGCGTGCGTGCAGGCAAGCGGGCGGGCGGGCAGTGCATAGGCTGGTGGTGGTGGCGCTGGGCCGGACTTGGCCTTGCTTGCTCAGAGTTCACCAGCCCTCGAGCCAGCCTGACCTGCTGGCCCGCCTCGTCTGCTCTCGGGTGCGTGCGAGCTTGCGGGTGCCTTGCCTCGACGGCTTTGCCTGCTTGGAGCCGTCTTGCTTCCTTCCTCCGCTCCTCGCCCTCGTCAGCCTGCCCTCCCCTCCTCTCGCAACCCCACCATCTTCAAGCTACCTGTTATACCTTGTCCGCCCCGCACCATACCGTTTCCGTCTGACATCGCCGTCCGCGCAGCGCATCGTCCGTCCGCCTTTGGGCAAGGGCAGCATCCCTGCAGCATCTCGCCGTCGCCCCTACCCTTCGGTCTCAGCCTCGAAGTCGACTTCGACCTGGATCGGCCGGGTCCTCCTGTCGCTCTCCGTACTGCCCGCGTCCGACACCACCGTACTGCACCTGCACTGCGGCTCGTCGGAGCAGCCACGTCGTTCATACCCTTGCTCGAGGCTACCGCTTCTGTCCCAGCATATCCCTATTCCAGCTGCGGGCTCGAACGTCCAGGAATCGCTCCGTGGCCGCAGTCAAGACGTTTGCGAGGGTCATGTCGTCGTCGTCGACCATCCTCTGAGCCAGCTTCGCATCAAGATTAGATAGATACCTACGGCTCCGCTTCTCTTTCCGCCTCGACCCTCGACCCTCGACCCCTCTCTCCGCCGCCTTCCTCCCACATTACTCTCTCCCTCTCACCACCCGCCGCCCGCGTCGTCTACGTCGCCCACTTCCGACATGGATCTCAAGGCGACGGCCCCGCCGTTTCAGCCGGGCAAGCCGTCCACACGCCCGACAAGCAGCTTCCTGCCGCCCCATGTCGTGAGTCGGCAAGAACAGCTCGTGATCCGCCGGAGTCGCCCAGCCTACTGCTAATGTCTTCGCGGATCCCTTCATCATCAACGCACTCTGCCCGCACAGCTCTCGCAGATCCAGAACCAGATCAGCGGCGGCAGCCCACGTCAGAACGGCATGATGAACGTCCACTCGAGGCCGTTCGTCCCAGGAATGGCCCCGCCGCCGCAGCCACAGCAGCATCACCACCAGCCGCCACCGCCCTCGGCGATGCCCATGCCGATACACCACGTCTCGCACCCCTCGATCCAGCACCAGCATCATCAGCACCAGCAGCATCACCATCACCCGCAGCATCCTGCGCAGGCTTCGCCTTTTCAGCCAGCTTCCACGTCGCCCGTCCTGTCGCGACCCATTCCTCCGCGGCTTGGCCACGGCATGAACCCAGGCAGCGTGCAGCTCACGGGCCTCCAGACTTTTCTCGGCGGGCCCGGCGGCATCCCGCTCTCGGTCAGCCCAAACTCGCAGCAGCACATGCTCAACGGCGCCGTCTCGCCCCTGACGCCCGGCCTACCGCCGTCGAGCCCGTTCATGTTTTCCCAGAACCAGGTGGGCGGCGGTCCACCGAGGGGCGGCAAGCACCGCAAGGGTCGCGGCCCGGCGCCCATCACGCCTCTCAAGACGACGGGACACAACTCGACGCCCTCGGTCTCGCTCAATCCGGCCGCATTTGCCGCGAGCCTGCTGGCTGCCAAGGCGAAAAAGAAGGTGGTGGTCGCCATCCCCAAGGAAGGCCCCATCCCAGGTGACGAGGCAATCCTCGCGCACCAGCCAGAGGCAGGAGACGCGGCAGGCGAGTCAGAGGCAGATGCGGACCCGGACGAACCCGAGGAGAGGCGAGTGGAGAGGGTCAAGCTGCGCACCGCCAAGGAGGCTGCCGCGATCCGCAGCAAGTGGATCCTGCGACAGCCGCTCGAGGACGTCGATCTCACCTGGACCGACGAGATGCCCGGGGAATGCATGGTGTCGTGCGCCGTCCATCCGGAGCCGTGGCCTGCGTCGCTCGGTCTGCCCGACACTATCGACATCTACCTCCCCGGTCTCAGCGCTTGGGACGAGTACCACGAGATCCGAATGGAGGAGAAGCTGGCCGAGGCCGAGGCCGAGGCGCGCGTCCGAGCCCTCGCGCTAGCGCAAGCGCCGCCGAGCCACGCCGACGAAGGCATCGCCGATGGAAACGACGACCATGAGTACCGAGGCCCACCGTTCAACCGCGGCTGGATGGGAACAGGAGAGCCACCGACCCCAGACCTCAGCCTGCAGCTCAGCGGTATCGGCAACCGGAGCAAGAGCATGTCGATTCCGTCACCGTCAGACGCAAACATGGCCAACTTCCGCCTCAACCGCTTCCTCGCCTCGCAGGAGGCGCCTCAAGGCGACCCGAACCTGCCCAGCGCCGAGCCCGCGAAGCAGCCGGCAGGTCGCTTCCAGGACGCGCTGCCGCTCGCCCTCCGCGAGGCGTTTGCCAAGCGGCAGGCCGAGGGCACGGAGGCCAAGACGCGGTCCGCCTCGGGCCACGGCTACACTATGTCGCTCGGTATGCCCAGCTCAGGCGGACCGTTTGGTCCCGCCGCCCTCAGCGCACTCGACATGGTGCGGGCCAGCTCCGATGCGGGTCCCACCGAGCCGGCGATGGGTGACCGCCCCGTCCCCGAAAAGGAGATCTCGGAACCGGACCTCGTCCAGCGCCGAAGCAGCGAGCCGAGCCTCGCCGGCATCGACGAGGAGGCCGAGGAAGAGTCGGAGGAGGACGACCACGGCCTCCAGAGGCGCGACGCCGGCCGCCGTGCGCAGCGCAACTCGACTGTGGGCAAGGCCGCCGGCTGGAAGGAGCTTGCGCGGGGCTTCGGCTACGACCCAGATGCCGACGACCAGGGCGAGACCGAGGCCACGCCGCGGATGCCGTCTGCCTTTGAAGAACTCGAGACGCGCCGACACAGCCGGCAGGCCTCGCGCATCTCGGTCAGCACATCGCGCCAGGGCGCGGGCGGCGATGGTCAGGACGGCGACGACGAGCTTGACGACCTCGACGAGGTCCGCACCAACCCGAGCGAGGACGCCGACACCTCGGACTTTGAGGAGGAGATCGACTCGGACGCCGCGGCCGCCGGCGTCGACGGGCAGGCGCACTGGTCTCGCCGAGCCAACAGCCGCAAGCGTGACCTGGCGGCCGACTCCAAGCGCCATGGCGGCGGTTACTACGATGACCTGTCGGACATGAGTGACGACAACCTGCGCGACTCGCTGACTCCCTCTGACGAGCAGTACAGCAACCCCTCGGACGAGGAGGCGGCGCGCGAGGAGCGCCAGATGCGTCGCCAGCGCCGCGCTGCGTTGCGGGCCGCGCGCCACGAGACGAGACGCCAACGCGCCCGCTCCGGCACCAACAACACGCTGCCCAGCAGCAGCATCGGCGAGGCCGAGGGCCTCGAGCACGCATTCGGCAAGCAGGCAAGCTGGCCCCACCACGTTCCGAACAAGGCCGCGACGGCAGCTGGCGGTCGGGCCGAGCAAGACATCATCAGCAACCCGTCGGACGAGGTACAGTCCGACTTTGACGAGCGCGGCACGTTTGGCGGCCCGCTCGACCACAGCCACACCTCGGGTGATCGTCTCAGCCAGGACTTCCGCTTCCCGCCGCAGCCGCAGCCCTCGCAGCACCAGGCCCACCATCACCATCAGCAGAACCAGCACCAACCTGATTCGGCCGGCTCGCCGTTCCAGTTCAAGCCGCCCCGCACCGACACGCTCGGGCGCTCGGCCGGCTCGTCGTTCCTCAATCCGGGCGCGAAAGAGTTCCGCTTTGGACATGCTGACAGGGCGGACGACTACGACGGCCGCCGCGCTGGTGGCACGACTGTCGCAGGGCCGGACGGCCTCGCCAACTCGCAGGAGCAGCCGCATCCGCACTTCCGCCTGCCCAGCATCAACAACTCCAGCTTCGGTTCCAGCACCTTTGGGGACGTCGTCAGCCGCGCCCAGCCTAAGGCCGGCCAGCAGATGCCGCCATCGTCGTCCGCAACATCGGCCGGCAGGTCTGGTGGCCTCAACGCCGCCGCGCCCTCCTTCACGCCCGGAGCCTTCACCTTCACTGCGCCTGGGGCGCAGCGCCTCGAGATGCCTGCCGACACGCCGAGCCACAACGTGTCGATCACCGTCGACGGCGCCGAAGGCGACGGGCGCGGAGCCCAGGGCCGCGAAAAGCGCCAGAAGTTTGGCCCGCTCGACGGCATGGTCGACGACGACGGCTTCCTCCGCCCCGCAAGCCCGCCGCGCCTCAAGGGCTCGACGGCCACGATCGAGGGACCGCTGCGTGACTTTGGCACGTTGTCGCGCCGCGGACCCCCACCCTTCGACGCCGGCGGCTTCGTTGGCCAGCGCACCGCTTCAGGATCGCGCTTCAAGCCCGATGCGCCTGTCTTCACCCCCTCGTGGGGACGAAGCACCAGTCTCATCGGCTCGTCCGCTAGGCGTCCCGGACTGCCAGACTTTGGATTTGGCGCGGTCGGCGAGTCGACCGAGCAGGCCGTGCCGGCAGCATCCTCCATCGCCTCTGGACTTCCAGCAGGCAACAAGGCGATCCCAATCCGCAAGCCGGACGAGTCTCACGAGCAGCACCAGCAGCGTCGTCCCAGCGGCCTCAGCGCGACCCGGGGCGAGGCCGATGTGCCATCCAACGAGGCCGACCTGGCTCGCAAGATCGAGCGCGAGGAGGGTGGCGCCCTTGCGGCCACTTACCCGACCGCGGCCGATGCCGGCTCGACGGACCTCGAGAGGACGCCGATGGCCTCGAACTGGGATCGCGTCCGGGGTGCCGAACGGGCGGATGCGGCCGACTTTGGCCGCTCGCCGCCGGTTGCTATCCCACGGCCGTCGTCGTACGAGCACCGCGGCATGGCGCTGCCGGCTCCGATCGACCAGCACCCGATGTCGAGGAAGCAGCGCATGGCGCACAAGCACACGCTCTCCCGCGACAGCGCTGCGATGTCCGAGGACAGCCGGCCGCGTAGGAGTCACCTCCATCCGTCGCACCACCACCACCATCACCATCAGCAACATGCCCAATCCAATGCGTTCGACACCGACGACGAGAGCCTCACCGACTTCATCGAGGAGCTGGCCGAGCGCATGGACAAAGCGCTCGAGGGGTGGGCCGGCAAGATCCTCGACGAGGTCACCATCATGGGCCAGGTGCGGCCCGTTCACCGTCCCGGCTCGGATGCGCTGGACAAGGAGCAGATAGTCGACACGTTTTCGCGCCGCGTCGAGGCGCTGATGGACTTCTACGTCGACAAGGTGGAAAAGGCCGCTGCAGCTGCCGCTACCGCCACCTCGGCTGCTCGCCCGAGCCTGGACAACGGCGCGGCGCCAGGCGACGACTCGCAGACGACCATCCGCGCAATTGAGGCGCCTCACCGCCAACAGCTCGGCAACCTCGACACCCTCGACGCGGCAGGCGAGCTCGACTTCGACTACGTGCAGGACATCCTAGACGTAAAGATCCAGGACCTCAAGGAGGAGCTGAAGCGCACGTTTGCCGAGAGTCTGGCCGCTCGTGACGGAACTGAGCATGCGGCTAAAGAAGCGGGCACGGCAGAGGGTGCGGACGCGGCACCCGCACCGGCACCCGCGCAGGCGCTGGAGCTGTCTACCGAGACGTCGGAGCAGCTGGCGTCGCTGCTGTCGGCGCGGCTGTCGTTGGCGCTCGGCGACCACGCACGTCACACGGCGACCGACTTCAAGGAGCAGCTCTCGGCCATCTTGGAGCCGGCGCTGGACGAGCAGGCGACGCGCTCGCAGAACAAGGCGGCGGCCGACCGCCTCGAGACGGCACACCTCGTCGCCGACCAGATGAAAGAGCGCATCGACAGCCTCGATCGCGCCCTCGTCGACGTGCGCTCCTCGTTTGGAGAGCACGTGCAGATGGCGCTAATCAACAACCTCCTGCCGCACCTCGAGACGCTCCGCACCGAGCCGGTCAACGGCGACCTGATCGCTGCCCGCGTCACAGAGATCCTCGCGCCCATGATCAGCGACGAGCGCGAGCGCCGGCGCGCCGAGCGGAGGGCGAGCGACGAGCTGGTCCGGTCACCTAGCTTCTCGGCCGAAGCCGTCGCCGAAGAGACGCTGAGCAAGCTGATCCCGATCGTGTCGAGCCTCAAGAGCGACCCCGTCGACTCGGACGCGCTCGTCGGCCGGCTGAGCGAGGTGATCGGCAAGCAGTCGATCGAGCACCTGGTCGACCTGAGCCCCGTCATCGCGCTGCTCGAGCCCATCATCGCCAAGCAGGAGGACATCCGCTCCTTCACGAAGAAGATGATCGACCGCCAGGATGAGGTGGAGCGCACCATGTCCGAGTTGCCGGGCGCCATCAACGCCAAGACCGAGATCTTCCTGTCTGCCGCTGGCGAGACCCAAGGCACGTCGTCGAGCATCCTCTCGCGAGTCGAGAAGCTGCACGAGCTGCTGTCGGAGATGGGCAGCTCGAAGCTGCGCGACGGCCCTTCGGACCGCGAGGCCGAGCTTGCCGAGTCGCTGCAGTCGACGCGCGAGGAGTCGCAGCGCCTCACGACCGAGCTCCACGCCGTCCGCGCCGAGCTCTCGTCGGCGAAGGACGACCACGCCGCACACCGGGTCGAACTTGTCAAGCTCGAAAGCAAGCTGACCGAAGCCGAGAAGAGCCGCGACGATGCCGTGGCGCAGGCCGACTCGGCCAAGGCCAGGGAGTCATTGTCGCTCGACAGAGTGCTTGAGGCCGAAAAGCAATTGCTCCAGTCCGAGTCGGGGGCGCGCGAGGCGCGGCTGGCGACCGAGACGGCGGCCAAGGAGGCGGCCATGTTCAAGGCGCACATTGAGCAGCTCGCCGTCGAGCTCAACGAGGCACGAGAGGAGCGGGCGCGCGAGCGCGAGGCGGCGGCTCAGGCGACGGCCGAGGCGCTGGCGCGAGCCGAACGTGCCGAGCGGCAAGCCGTCGAGGCCGAGAAGCGGGCCGACGACCGTGTCGACGCCAGCCTCGCCGCCGAGCGACGTGCGCAGGCCGAGATCAAGGAGGCGGTCGAGCGAGCTGCCAAGGCCGAGGGCCAGGCTGCGTCGCTCGAGAAGCGCGTGGCGGACCAGGACGCCAAGATCGCCAACCTGCAGGCGCTCTCGGCCGCCCAGAAGCAGAAGATGGCGACCAACCAGCAGAAGCTGAGCGAGGCCGAGAAGAAGACACGCGACTTTGACATCCAGGCCAAGGACCTCGCCGTCGCCGCCGCGAGGCTCGAGGAGCTCGAGGACCGGGTCAAGGACGACGAGGAGCTCCGCGACAGGCTGCGCGATGCCCAAGACGGCGAAGCAGTGAGTTTGGCGTGGACCTCTTTGGCGCGATCAAGTCTGCCTGACGCGGATGAGGGGCGAAACCTCCGATACTGACGTCTCTTTCTCTCCTCTTTCCATCCGTGTCCCATTTCTACCTTGTTGCAGCGACTCCGCGACGAGGTGGCGCAATACCACGCGCGCTTCTCGGAGCTGGAGAAGGACCTCATCACGATGAAGGAGAGCCTCGTCGGTCGCGACGAGCTCGAGGCCTGCCAGGCCGAGCTGGCCCAGAACCGGGAAGAGGTGGCGCGGCTCAAGGGTCAATTGGCCGAGCGCGAGCGGTTCCAGGCCGACGGCGGCTGGGTCGATGTCTCGTCGGAGGGCAGCAGACCGCACAAGACGGCTGCAGCTACTGCTGCCACGGTCCCGAACGGAAGCGGCGGTGCCTGGTCATCGATCCACGCGCCCGGCGCGATGACGCCCAGGCTCGGGTCGGATGCACGCAACCGATACGGGCTGGGCCAAGACACGGCCGTTTCTGCGTCGGCGACGCCCGCCGACTCGTCGGCCGAATTCAGCAGCCGCCAGAGCGGCGACTACGCGGCCGCGCGCCGACCTGCGGCCAACAGATCCATGTCGATTGCCAGCAGCATCATGCGCGAGGTCGAGCAGGACGATGGCGGTTGGTGGAGCTGAGCCAGCCGACCTGGTCTGTCGCTGCGGCTGTGCCCGTCGCTGCGCCCTCGGCACCTCGTCGTCGACCCGCCCGACTGCGGATCGGCGACCCGCTCTCTTACACGCAGACCGAGGGCCCAACCCCAGCATCCTATACCCGATCCCCGTCTCCCTCTCCCTCTCCCCCGCCATCCCCACTCGACCCCTGGCTGCGTCTATCTATTACTTGTCACATTCGTTTCTACTATACGTTACTCGCGCTTCCGTCATCGTCGTCGCCGTCGCCGTCGCCGTCGAAGGAGAGCGGACCCAGCCTCAGCCTTGCAGGTAGATGGCGCGGGTCCGCGGGCCACAAGCGCCGTTTCCGGCCGGTGCCTGTCAATTAGCGCTCCTCGGTCATCGATGGTTCACCCTGTCTTCCGTGTCAGGACTCGGCGCGGCCGCTTACTATCTCGCTAGCCACGGCTGAGCGATGGCTGCGACCGGCAATGGCCTTGCCCTTGTCTCTCTTGGCCATCGCCGCGGCATGGAGACGGCCAAACGGGCTTGGTTCCCTGAGCCTGTCAGAAGGAAGAGGGAAGCCTGCAGTAGGGAAGGAAAAAAAGTTGGCAGGCAGGCCAGGGTGCAACAGGGGGCAGGGGCGCGTGGCCAGGCCCGACCTCCACGTCAAGGAAAGTCTAGTCTGCGAGGCTTGTTCTGGGCTTCCCTCTTCTCACCACTTGCCCATCGATCCACCTTCCTCCCTCCGTTCCTGCCCTCCCTCTCTCCCACCCTTCCTCTCTCTGCGCCTAAATCCCAGCACCATCCCCTGTTCCCGTCCATCGCTCGATCGACCATAGCGTGGCGCGGTACACAACGGCCACCACGGCCACCATGGCACGACAACTGCTGAGCTACGACGACCTACCGCATTCCGACGCCGCCATCCACCTCGCCTCTCCCTCGTCTCTCCCACCACCATCGCACCACCACCACCACCACAACCACCACAACCACGAAGGCGACGACTACGACGAAGACGACGACGTCAACGCGAACGGCAAACGGGCTGGACAGGGCAGCGCTCGCAGCGCCGGCAACGGCCAGCATGCACGGCCAAAGAAGCGCAACAAGACCAGGGCCGAGAAGCGCGCGGCGAGGGAGAGGGGAAAGGCGGACGGGACTTGGCCCGGTCGATCCCGCTCCTCTCCCTCGAGGGTACCGGGGAGGAGCGACGTGGCTTCCTGGCGCCACGGCGAGGAGGCGCGGGGCGCATACGATGACGAGGCAGAGGACGAGGATGCCGACGAAGACGAGCAGTGGCATGTCGAGCCGTCTTTTATCATCCCCACGCCCTTTGACGCCGACAACGACGACGACGACGAAGACGACGACGAGGCGGACCGTCATGGGCCTGGTGGCGGCGACGAAGACCCTCAAAAGTGCACCGCCTCGACGCCTTCGGAGCGGGGACGACGGCTGAGCCACGCCGAAATCTGGGGCGACTCGGCGCTCATCTCGGCCTGGGAAGCCGCGTCGGCGGAGTACCTCTCGTTCCACACCGCCCCGTCGACGAACCCCGTACCGGACGACGACGAGGAAAAGGCAAAGGCGAGCGCGCTGTGGTGGTTCAGCCCCGCTGCCGGGGGCAAGCTGGCGCGGGAGGCCAAGCGGGTCGCGGTGAGGTGGAGAGAGCAGAGGAGGGACGTGGCGCTCCTCAAGAAGGAGGTCGAGAAGCAACAGCGCGTCGGCCACGCCTCGCCGACTGCGGCTGCGGCTGCGCTTGCGCCTGCGGCAGGGGCGGGGTCGGGAGCGGAGGAAGACAAGACCACGCCGACGAGACGGGAGGAAGCACAGGCTCAAGTGGCGCGGCCGTCGCAGGCGCAAGCTGGCGCGAACGGCCACGGCGCAGCGGAAAGCGATCCGCACCACTCGGCCGCGACGGCCGCGGCGACGGCGGCGTGGAGGAAGGCATGTCGCATCGTCGAGTCGACGCCCAACACGATTGGCGCCTCGCCACCGCGCCCATCTTCGAGGCTCGCACCACCACCACCTCCTCTTCCTCTGCCCATGCCGCACCCGCCATCGACATCCGACGCCACAGCCATCCCTACCGGCGCTCCTACTCCTGCACCTCCATCTGCACCTGCATCGGCACCTGCATCGGCACCGACACCGGCATCAATGGCGATGCCACCACCGCCGCACCCGGACTCGGAGCTGTTCCAAAACGTCACCATGGCATGGTACTATGCCGGCTACTACGCCGGCCTCTATAGCGCATCGGCGCATCGCGGCGGTGGCCCCGCGACGGATCAGACGACGTCGGCAGCCAAGACGACCGAGGACGAGCAGTAGCACCGCGGCAAGGCAGATCCAGGCGGAAGCGGGTGATGGCGGCAGCCCTCACGCGCGGAGCGGTACGAGGCACACGAATCGAGAATGGGGCGCCCTGCGATGCTGGTCGCAGCCACCGACGGGTCGCACCCGTCCCTGCGTCGCCCGGACCGAGGGCAAGCCTGCTCCGATAACCATTTGGCCAACCAACGACAAACGACTCCCGCTCCCATGAGGCATCCTCAGATTTGATTTTTAGGCAGCCATAAGACGACACAGGCGTGCTAGCGTGTTGATACGACAGGTGGCGTGGGGTCTTTCAGCGGCCAGGAAAGGTGCAACGACCCCTGACCGCTTGCCCCGGCCCGGAGGCCAGCAGGCCGGAGGGAAAGCGGACAAGGGGGCTCGCCTGCTGCAAGCAAAGCCAGGCGCATGGCCAGGCGCCGCCGTGTGCGGCCTAGCGTCTCAGTCCTCGAGCTGGTCCGGCGACGAGCTGGCCTCGCGACGCCTGGCCTCTTCCCGCTTGCCGTTGTGCGGCGTACCGGCAGCCGACGAAGAGGCGGGGTCGCCATTGGCGGCAGCGCCACCCGCGCGCTCCTGTGTACCTGCTCCACGACCGGCAGCCAGGGGCGGGCTTGGGCTGAGCTCCTCGCGCTGGCGCGAAGAGAGGTGGTGAGGCAGCCGTTGCCGTTCCTGCGGTGTCTGCCCGCCGCCGTCGCCACCACCATCGCGGCCGTTGGAGATGCGCGACGTCGCTGTGTCGCCGCTGT